TGGATTTTTCACTGGTTAGTTAAGAAACACTTGGATTAAGTTTGTTTCGAATCACTTTCGACGGATGGGCGTCACGTGTTGTTTTACGAACTTCGCAGAGCACTACATACACTTCTACACGCTTCGGCACCCACAGCGAACTGATCTCATTTATGTGCCATGGAAGAAAAATCGGACTAGAGGAGCCGGGATTCGAACCCAGGTCCCGAACATTCGTAATCTAAGGCGCTAACCACTGCGCTACCGTCGTCCGGTGGAAGTTAGTGTGGAGTGGCGGTATTTGTTGTCGAGTGCCGCCACACCGTAAAAAACTACTTTGTTCATTCCTGGATGTATTCTTATTATACTTTGAAAGCAATGCAATACAAATTACCAAAAGACTTTGCCATGATGATTACTACGCTGCAGCTGGTACAAATAGTGATTGGTTGGGTTGCAACTATTGCGGCTTATTATTACCGAAAAAGTTGAGGACTTTAATGCTACACTACGCGTAAAAATTTTGTGTTTGGTTTCCCCATCTACTTCAGTTATTTAATCCTATTTGAAAAATTCTTCTTCATGGCTTATCTTTCCGACTAACGGAAAAACAAAGTCGGAGAGAATTTAATTATTGTAAAACATTTAGTGTTTTTGATGTTAAGGTATGGGATATGGAGGTTTTCAAAAAAGTCGTTTGCGAAGAAGTGAGAGTAAATGGAAAATCAAGAGTGATATTTCGTTACGCGTATCTTTGAAATATTTTTAAGGAATATGCTAACAAGAGAAGAGGATTTACAAAAACTTCCTAGAAGAATTCCTTGTAATGTAAGTTTTGATATGTGATTTTGGTTGTATTTTTGTTTGCCGAATTCAAATGTGTAATAAATTTATGTTTATCATTGAAGATATTTTAATGACAAACAATTTAATATTTACTAACATGCATATTTAGTAACATGACTTCGTGGAAGATTTGACTTAAGAGATATCCTGATTGAATTGTTCGGCAATATGTAGGACATGGAAATGTCTAATTACAAAAATATATGATGGTGAATGCAAATATTCATCGTGAAAAAAGCTTTTGTTAACTAAAGAACAAGCTGACGGTGTGTATGTATGTGATGTAATCCTGATTCACGACCATGCAAGGAAAATAAATTAATAAAAGGAAAACTGAGGTTTATATTTGAGACTTCTCTTTATTCTTGCTTTCATGATGCGTACAGATTTCCAAAATGCAAACAATCTTAGAATATTATTTATATATTTTGTTCATTTCTGAACAATTTTATCGCATAATTTGTTCCTAGACAATATTTCTTGTCAATTCTTACACACTAGCAATGAATACAACTAAGTGGAATCACCTAAACTTCTTCGTTATTGTTAGACGAAAAAACTTCATAAGACAAAATTCTATATACTTATGGAATCATCCCCTACTCGGTTGTCCTACCCTACCTGAGATACCTTTTAAACATACAGTGACGAGAAAAAGTGTAAACACACTCCGCTGATTTTATGTAAAAGGCGCTACTACGAATAATTTTTCAAGTGATCGGTAAAGATTAGGTAACAGGAACTATCTGCTGCGTCTGATTAACGAAATGTAATAGTTCATTTCTATTAACATTAATTGTATTTTCGTCCGATCGTGGGGAGACGCGATCGCGAGGAAGCGCGTCAACGGGAGTCGTAAATTCCCGTTGCGATTCTAAGAATCGACACCGCGAATAGATCGATCCCTGATTTCCGTTAAGATAGCTGAGGTGGTATAACACTGCGATTAACAGTGTTATACAATATGTATTTCCAACAACTTTGTACAACAACACAAGTTAGTAATTCCGCTGCTTAAGATATAGGTGACGAAGAAATGGATTGCTCTGATATTAGAGAATCTGGGTAGAGATGTAATCTGAGTTGAAGACCGAGATTGAGTATGTGTAGTTAAGTGATTTTCGAAGAAGTCTTGAGGGTTGAGAGTTTTCGGGCTGAACTGAGTTCGAACTGCACTGGATGTTTCGTACTGAGAACTGGATATGTGCTTGTCTGGAACTGAACTGCATTCGTACTGTTTGAGTATTCGAACTGTCCGCTCTTATATACTTACGGAGGAAAGCTCGGTATGTGTGTAAGTATTGAACGAAGGAAGCTGATTCGTTGTTCACACTTTTCGTTATGAAAAGTGTGATTCCCATTGGTTGATGAGTGAAGATAAGAGGAATAAACATTCTACCCACGTGGCTCATGGGTGACCTTGTTTATGGGAAAATCCAGACATTTCCATTAGGTAAATGACCGGTTTTTCCCATTATATAACTACCAGCTGTTCCGTAATTTCTAAGCGCGAACCATAAACCTAAGATCCTTTTAAGTACCGGATATAAACCGAAAATATTTGCAGGATTAATGGTTTCTGCAAGCTAATAAGATTCAATTTATCGCGGGGCCTTAGGTTTGTTGAGGGTGTACATAACGGTCGGCGGACCCTTAACGACCCAATAGCGAGGGACGTTGTACGGTTCCAATCACGCGACGTAACATTAATAATGTACAGAACATTTTACAAAAATGGACATCTCAAACCATGTATACACTGTTACACTTTAATTATGCTCGTCGAAATAATGTTTCAACCTAGTATTTCCTCCACTTTCCCTTACTTTTTTTAATGCTTTTAATCAACGAGGCATACTGTCAATTAAATTTTTAATTATTTGTTGTTTAATATTGTACCATTCCTGTTGTGTTCTTTCCCATAATTCACGAAGGTGGATTATTATATTTTTCCAGCCTTCTTCTCAAAATGGACCACAAATTTTCGACCGGATTCATATCCGGGCTTTGTGCTGGCCACTTCATTACAGAAAAATTTTGATTTTTTAGCCAGGTTTTAACTACCTTTGCGGTATGCTTAGGATCCCCGTCTTGTTGAAATACTACTTCACTTTCATTATATCCAATAGAATTAACTACAGAAGGTAAATTACTTTCTAGTATGGTCAAATAATGCTCTGTTCGCATTATTCCTTCGATTCGAACTAAGGGACCAACACCTCTGTGAGTAAAGCAACCCCAACACATAATTAGCCACCTCCAAACTTCATAGTTTGATTTATACCACTTACTAGGTGCGGTATTTGTATCATGCGCCCGTATATTCAACCGCTAGCGAGACAGACGGACTCGTTGTCGTCGTAGTAGCCCTCTGGTGCTGGCGGTTGGTACCCGCGGATCGCCCGGGAGGTGTTACGACCTGTCGGAGTGCTGTTGGTACCAATCCGCCACATATTGATTTATTTCCACGTTGGGGTATTTATAATCTTTGAATTTTTGATCGAGCTCCCTCAGAAGAGTAATCTCTTCAATTGTCCAAACTCTACTATTTTTTTTATTTTTATTATTTACTTTAGTCCGTGCTTTTCGACTTTGGACGACTTCCAGATTACATCTCTTACATTGTCTTTACTTATATTTAACGCTTTTGCTTCCTTGCTGTTCTCCCTCTCTGTCGTTCCTCCTCCTCTGCTGCTCTTCTCTTCACTATTATCTCTTTTAGGTCTGCCAGTCCTTCTTCAGTCTCCTTCAGCACTTCCCCCATGTCCCTTGTTCCTCCTATAATCTCGCATTCCTCTACTACGTGCTTCAGGTCCTCCTCTCCTTTTTGCATAATCTGCATTCTCTTTCTCCCTCCTCTTTCCAGTGTTCTCTTGCCCTGGTTTCGTTGCCACATCTAAATCTCCTTACTATAGATCTGTCCCCCCATTTCATCTTTCCTTCTAGGTACTTTGGTAGTCCTTCTTGCGCTATGTTTCTGTAGTGTCTGTTATATTTAGATTCCCTTATTCTTTTCTCCCTCTCCTCTGTTTCTCTTTTCCTTCTTTCTTCTATGATCTGGTTCGCCTTCTTTCTTCTATGATTTTCTCCCTCTCCTCTGTTTCTCTTTTCCTTCTTTCTTCTATGATCTGGTTCGCTGTCATCCTTTCTTGTCTATCTTCTGCTTCTCCTTGAGCCCTTCCCTCTCTCGCCTCCTCTAACCTCATCTTTTCCTTGCTTTTTTCCCTTTTTGGCCCTTTCCCCATTTCCTTTCTCTCTCCTTTATACATTCTTTCACTAATTCTTTCTTCGATTCCAAGGCCTTCTCCTCGTACTTTACTGCTCTTTTCAGTACCTTTTATCTAATTTCCTCTATCTTGCATTCCTCTCTCAGGATGTAGTTTGGCGTTGTTGTGTCTAAGCCTAGCCACCATCTCAGGTATCTCCTTTTTACCCTATCCAGTCTCTCCTCTATATTCCATCCCCACACCTCCGTTCCATACAACGCTACACTCTCTACCAGTGCTCCAAACATCCTCATTCTCATCTTGTAGTCCCTTTTAAATATCCTTTCTCCTACGCTCTATGTCTTTTTCATCGCAATTGCTGTCCTCCTTTTTCTGTCTTGGATATGCTTCTCGTCGCTTTCAGTATGTACCCTAGATACCTAATTTCATTCACTTCTTCTAGTTCTTGTTCCCCCCATCTCCATTTCCTTTGCCTCCTATTGTTTCTTCTCTTTTCAAACACTATTCTTTTTGTCTTTTCGGTGTTCAGTTCCAGTTCCACTTCCTCTAGGAATGTCTTCATCATTTCCTTTAACTCCTCTTCTCTGTCTTCTATCAATACAATGTCATCCGCGTATGATAATGACCATAGCTACCTGTCTCCTACCACTATGCCTCCTACTTGCCCTTTCCTCATTTCCTCTTCCAGCCCTGCCACATATATGTTAAATAGTATCGGGCTCAGCGGGCACCCTTGCCTCACTCCCCCCGCCGTCCAAAACTCTTCTGTGTAGTTGTTCCTGATTCTCACTACGTTCTTTATCTCCTCGTATATCTCCTCTATCCTTCTGGTTAACTTCTCGTTCACCCCTATTCTCCTCATTATCTCTCCCAGTTTCTTCCTGTTGACCCTAACGAACGCTGACTTTAGGTCCGCGAAGCTAGCATATAACTTCCCTCTTTCCCGACTCAATTGTTTATCTATCATATGGTTCAGTACGTACACTGCGTCTATCAGTCCTCTTCCTTTCCTAAATCCGAATTGGCTCTCTACCAGCTTGTCCTCGATTTCCACCTTCAGCCGCTCGCCTAGAATTCCTGCATAGATCTTATATGCCGTATCCATTAGCGTGACCCCTCTGTAGCTCTTCACTGCCCCCTTGTTCCTCCTCTTGTAAATCAGACATATCACGCCTTTTCTCCAGTCTTCAGGTATCCTTTTTCCATTCCAAATTTTTCCTAACATCACCCATAACGCCTCCCCCACTTCCTTCGGCGCATACTTCCATACCTCGTTTTCCAAGCCATCTTCCCTCGTTGCTTTTTTCTCTTTCAATTTTCTTATTTGGAGCACTATCTCTTCCTTCTCTATGTTGTCTTCTCTCTCCTCCTTTGATTCCTCCTCCTCTCTCCTCCCTTCTGTTCTTCTGTCCTCTTTATTTTCTGTCCCCTCTAACGTTTCGATAAAATGATTTTTCCACTCCTCTTCCCTTATCTCCTCGCCTACAACCTCTCTTCTTCTCCTATATTTGTTTATGTATTTCCATGCTTCTTGCTCTGTTTTGAGCTTGTTGATTTTCTCCATCTCTTCCTCTTCCTGCTTCTCCTTCCTTCGTTTACACCACTGTTTTAATGCCTTCTTCTCCTCTATGAATTCTTCTCTGCTGCATTTTCCTTTCCTAAATTTTGTCATTTTCCTTCTTATCTCCCTTTTCCTTTCTTTCAACTCCTTATCGTGCCATACCTTTTCTCCTATGCTCCATTTCCTTATCCTTACTCTTTTCTTTGGTATTGCCTCGTTTATCTTCTTCTTAATTTCTGCCCACATTTCCTCTACTGTTCTTCCCCCGCTTGCCCAGTCTTTGCACTCCTCTAAATATCTTCCCGCACTTTCTTCTGTCCATTCCCTTCTCTCCTTCTCTTCTCCTTTTCTTTCCTCATCTCTTTGTACATCTGATCCCTTTATTTCTATTTCCAACGGCATGTGGTCTGACTCCCCTCTTTTTCCTACCTTCATGTCTGTTATTTCCTCTATCGCTTCCTGGTTGCCAATCACGTAGTCTATTACTAATTTTCCCCTCTCCCCACATAGGTCCACTCGTCTCCTTCTTTGTCTCGACCGTTAATTATCGTCCAGCCTCTTTCATTCAGCAACCTTAGCAGCATTCTTCCTTCCGTATTTATTGTCTTGTCTTTTGACCTCCGGTTCTTTTCTTTTCCTAGTTCCTCGTTTATCAGCCCTCCCTCTTCCCCCGTTCTTGCATTCCAATCTCCTCCTAAGATCGTCACTTCCTCTTTCCTTTCCTCTACTCCTTCCTCCATTTCTTTCAATGTCCTTTTCGTGTCCTGGTTATACACCACCACTGTTCTATATGTCTTCTCCTTGTACCTTATTGTTCTTTCTACTATGTCGTCACCAATTTCCTTATACTCTATTTCCCTCAGATTTTTGTTTACGCCTGTTATTATGCCCCTTTCTGCCCTTACCTTTTTCCATTCTCTCCTTGCTACCCTGCATTTCCAGTCGTATTCCTTGGGCAGTCTATGCTTTACTCTTCCCATTTGCTTTCCTCTGTCCATGTTTCCGTGAGGCCGATTACGTCAAATGTTCTTAAATATTCCCACACCTCTTTGTCCTTGATCATTATGCCTGCTATGTTCCAGAAGCACCGTCTCAACCCCTTTATGTCCCCACCCCTTTCTTTCTCCTTATCTCACCCTCTCGCCTCTCTCCTTCTTTCTTCCTCTAGCTTCTCCTCGCTTTCGTTCCACCTGTACCACCTGTATTCTATTTTCAGCTTCTTGTAACCTATTTTTACGTATTCTCCCTTCTCCCTTTTCGCTCTAGCTATTCTTCTGAACCTTCGTTGTATTTCTCTTTCTTTCTTTGTTAGGTCGTTGTCTATGTATATCCCCTTCCCCAATTTACCTTTCTCTCTTATTACCCTCATCTTCTCCTCCCACGATTTCAACGTTGCGATTATTATCGTGTTCTTTTCTCCCACCCTTACCTTCTGTGTCCTTTCTACCTCTACCTCTAATTTCTTATTTTCCTTTATGAACTCTATCACTGTCCCGTTATCGCTTTCCTCCCCCACTCCGCGCCCTTTATTAAGATGTTCCTCTTCCTTCTCTTGCGTTCTATTCTGCCTTGCTCCTCCTCAAACCTCCTGATTCTGTTCTCCATCTCTTTCTTCTCCCTCTTTATGAACTCTATCACTGTCCTTCCTTCTCTCCCTTTCTATCCTGTCTTGCTCCTCCTCAAACCTCCTGATCCTGTCTTCCAACTCTTTCTTCTCCCTTTTCCATCTTTCCCACTCTCTGTCCCATTTTTCTCTTTCTGTCTCTTTCTCTTTCCTCCATTTCTCTCTCTCTCTTCTTCTCTCTCCTTTTCCCATCTTTTCCTCTCCTCCTCCTTCTCCTTCTTCCACTTTCCCTCTCCTCTTCTCGTTCCTTTTCCCATCTTTCTCTCTCCTCTTTCCCTCTGTCCCTCCTCATCTCCACTACTAACTCTACTATCACCTCCAGTCCCCTCTATTTTCTCCATCCTCTCGTCCCATGCTTCTTTGCCGCCCTCTCTCTTTGCTGCCACCTTCTCTGTCACGCTGTACCTTTCCAGCGTGTTTCTGCGATCTTCCTTCTCTCTCTCCTTGTCCGTCATCCTCGGTCTGCAAATTTGAACACCAAGGGCGGAAGTGTCACGTCCCGCGCTGTGCACGCGCCGTAACATAGACTAAAACTACCAATAGCGCGAATGAGCGTTTCAATTTGAGATTCAAATAAAATTTAACAATTTGTATAGAAACCAAATTCGAGCCTCACAACTCCCACGCAATAACCCGTCACATGACGACCCCTCCACGGTAGGCCTAATTATAAATAAGCGTAGCTACATAGAAGACAGGGAGATAATAATTCCTTAGTTCAGAGTAGTTAATTCATCAGTTCTAGGTGATTAATTCCTTGGTTCTTGGCGATCAGTTCCCCAATTCTTGGCAATTAATTTCTTTGTTTATAGCGATTAGTTCTCTATTCCTTTAGCTCTTAATTTCTCAGTTCCTTTGCCTTTCAATTCTTTAGTTCCTTAGTTTTTCAGCTCTTAGTTCTTTTCTCTTAGTTCCTAAGTTCTTTAGTCCTTTAGTTTTTTTAGCTTTTAGTTCTTTGTTTCATTAATTTCCAGTTCTTGTCAGTTTTGTTAATCAACGTGTTTTGTTAATCGACGTGAAAACGTATCGCGAACGATTGTAACATCAAGTATTCGAAATCTCAACGACAATTCTGTCAATACCCAATTAGAATTAGAATAAACATTTGTTGTGGAAAATATTTGTCTAATAGTATAATAGGATTAAGCGAACATTTATTTTCACCAACTTTGATCCTCTCCCGTGCCAGTACTCCTGCGCACAGCAGCTTAGCCGAAACGTGGAGTTTAATTGCCAATCGCATTGAACATCAGACAACGCTACTATTTAATCTAAATTTAAAAATTAACGGCAACACAACCAAAACAAATCAAACAAAAACGCAACATTGGCACGACCCTATAATGTATCCGAGGGTTTCTGGTTGTGCACTACATCTTCTACAAGTTACGCCTACTTTTTTGTCGGCCCATGCCAATATGGTCCTTGTCTCAAAGGTGTTCGTTCTTAACCTTATGGCATCCATGAATCTCGATGGCCTGAGCAGGTTATACTCCTCTAGCCACACGCTGCCAGTTTTATTCCTTGAGAAGTCTTTAATTCCTTGGCCCTGACTTCCCAATTCCAACCATTGTTTAACATGTGCGTACTTCAACCTTTTCCGTGCCTTCTTTGTGTCTTCGGAAGTGGCCGGCCAATTGATCGAATCCTTTATTGCGCTTTTGAGGATACCGAGTTTAACGATATGTTCGATCCACGGTAATTCTAGACCCCCATTAGCTTTTGGAGTGTAGAAGAATGCATGGCATTGATCTCTTGCCTGACTTCGCTGTCCATCAATTTCAAAACGCTATTGTTTGGTGGATTTACTAGTAGGTGGTAGATATAACGAGGAAAGATGTAATTCATTAACAAATCAATTTTCTTTCATGGTTTCAGAGAGACCTTTCTGGCTCTTCTCGCCACGCTCAGAATTTCTGGTACTATAATGCCACAGTGGATACCCCTCCAAGGCACAATTTTGGCGCCAATTACTTGAAGGCCTCGTCTGAGTCAATGGTTGGTATTATTACACCTTCGATACTTATTCTCGGTTCTTTGACGAACCAGGTGTCCTTCCTCGCGACCACCTGGGTCGTCTGGCTGTTCTCCCCTGTGATGGTCATTCCAAGGCCTTCGGATATCCATGTAGGATATACACTTGGCGTTGTGCCTTCCTCTCAACTTCATCAAGTAGGACAATGTTGTCGGCGAAAGCCAGGATTGGAACTTTTCTTTCGTTACTGACATCTATACTACTGGGTTGCTCTTCTATTGCGTCCAGCAGCGGCTCTAGACATAAATTAAGTAATAGCGGCGACAAAGGGTCACCCTGCTTGACTCCCGTAGGTATCTTGATCTCCACTCCTATATTGTCTTTTGCTTTTATCGTCTTGCCCTCATAGTACAGTTCATTTATTGATTCAATAATAGGCCTTCCTCGCCAGGCAAGGATTTAACGCCGAATGGGGTATCGTGTCGAACGCTTTAGAGATATCTACAATTGTAAATATCCCCCCCCCTCGTTATTTCTCTTGCTGTAACTGAAGGCAACATTAAACAGTTTCATATTTATTTCACACCCGTTCTCGTTCTTATCCTTCCATCGAGGATGAAGGAGAAGATTCGGCCGAAAACAGGGCCTATCGTTATAGTTTTCGACCAGGCTGCATTGCTTGTTCGCCTTTGGTATTAATGTATTTTCCTTCCATACGGTCGCCAAATAGGAGCTATAGCATAAAATTATAAACTTTGGCCAATAATGCTGGCAGGCCATATATCATTAAGTGCTCCTTCTGAATATCATATGGTCCTACCGCAGGCTTTTTCCTCATCTTACTCAATGTCTCGTACACATCCTTCACGGTTATCGGCGAGAATAATTCATTTATTAATAACTCAGAGGCTCCATTTCCTGGGATTGGGGGATTGGGGGATTGGATGAGCCTGCTCGACTCCATGAATCCTCATAGAGCCCCTTCATCTTTGTTGCTTCAGGTGGTTGCCTGGCTGGCTCCAGGTATGCGCGATCGTCGTTCACAACAACGTCGGCCAACTTCCTTGAACATTCTTTAATGATTTCCTGGCAACGTGCGTAGGAGTATCTTTTTCTACGATTTCAATTGCTGTTACTATTTTTGCTTCCTTTCCTTTGGGGCGTTGCCTTCTTTGCACGCTCATCGTTCTTGTCTTTCTCTATCGCTTCGCATAGAGATGTCGTTATGAATCTATTAATGTTCTTTATTAGGACTTCCATGTTCCCTTATCATTAGTCCATATCTGGAGCAACCGAGTATTTACCTCCCTTAACGAGGGGGCATCTCGGTAGGTCTTTCAATTTCTCTTGTTAGATAGAGTCTCCACTGATGCGTAGACGCTTCGGAATTCATTGCACCGCTAATTTCAGGATCTTTGCGTATCCGCACATTGCCCGATTTAACGAGATCGCAACCGTCCTCTGTCTCATGGGCAACCTCCCGAGGACTCGTATCCTGACTAGCTATCTACAACTTTTTCCTCTTATTCTTTATCTGAGGATTTTGCTTATCTCTAAATTTTAATATATATAATGGATATATATTTCCTCGAGCTCCTTCAGGAGAGTTACCTCTTCTACCGTCCGTTTCCTAGTATTTGGGGGGTCCGTTCCCCTTCTTTTCTCATTTCTTATAGCAGGGTGCGTATGCCATTCATGGATGGATAGTCCTCTTTGAATCCCGAAGCTCATGGCGCAAACTTCGCACTTGTATGTTCTCTCTTTCCTCTGACTTGGGCCGCTACAATTAGGTATGTGGTATCTAACCCCATGCATCTTCGAGAAGCTTCTCTCACAATACAAGCATCTCCACTGGATTCGGGTCCCCATATGATGATGATCAAGGTGCCTATCCAGGTCCGACAACGTCACGAAGAAAAGGTGGATTTCCCTTTTTTCACAGACCGGGCAGACAACCTGATTCCCCACGAGTGGCACCGTAAACATCAAACTAATATCCGTGGACAAAGCCGTGTCATCGACTATGGTCCCCTCGAAAGTGGAAGAATCCGCCACGGCGCCTCCGGGACCGAGAGGAGCCGCGTCCGAGGCTATACTCTTATTACTCATTTTGCAATTATTTAGTTGTGTTGCAACTCCTTAAGAGCGGCATAGTCACTCCCGCCGTTTACCCGCGCCTTTTTGAATTTCTTCACGTTGACATTCAGAGCACTGGGCAAAAATCGCATTGCGTCAATACTCTTGGGGGTCATCGTAATGCTTTGTTTTAATTAGACAGTCGGATTTTTCTAGTCCGTGCCAGTTCTGAGCTGAGCGTTGAACAGCGGCCAAAGAGAACGACCGCGATGGTGGAACCGCCGCGGAAGTCTCGCAGCAAAGAAGATTTGCGCGAGACCAAAGCACGGGACCGAGCTCGGATCCGAGGTGTGCGAGGATCCCCCGAGAGAGATTCGCCGCGTACCGATTAGCTCGCCCAGGTCCGGCACGTCAGTCAAACCCGATTCCCGACCAAGCCGGACACGTCCCGCTCCTCAGAGCCAATCCTTGTTCCGACGTTACGCATCCAATTTGCCGACTTGCCTTACCTACAATAATCCATCGACTAGAGGCTCCTTACGTTGGAGGCCTGCTGCGGATATGGGTACGAACCGGCGCGTCATCTACAAGTGGTTCTCTCCTGGATTTTCAAGGTCGGAAGGGAAGATCCGGATACTGCTGCAACTGAGTTGCTCTTCGCGTTCCAAACCCCATCTCCCTGCTAGAAGTGTCCAGGGAACTCGAACGATTGTACAGAAAAGAGAACTCTTCCCGGATCTCCCGACGCGTACGCTCTAGGTGCGCCTTTCCTCGCAATGAGTACGAGACACCCCGGGAGCGCGGAGCCGTTCAGTTGCGCGGCTCATCCTCCCTCCAACGGCACGAACGCCGATTTTCACTTTCATTTAGATTTCACTTAATACTTATCAAGTCTGCACTAGCCAGGTATTTAATACGTTCGTTGCTTCAAGATGCTCTATTTGCCCTTGCTCTTATAATAAAATGTTTACGATCTACGGAATATGTAAATCCTTTGCAAACAGGCACTCTGTTCCTCTTCCTCATGAAATATAACTTTGATATGTAATAGGATGCCACGTAATGAATGATTTAATATTAAGGACATATTTAAATTATCAGCAACCTCATAACTTGAAGTATGCCTTTCTGCATATCTGCACGGGTACGCGCAACTATTTTGTATCACCTGTAAAAACAAAAATGAAAAATATTATTAAGTTCAGCATTCATCTTCTAAAAATAATACGAGTATCACATGTTTCAGTAAAGTTCTTCTTAAACTAATATTATTTATTATATCATTACTTGCTAATCAATATTAATTATATGAGCTTTCGTCCACTCTTACGTTTAGTTAATGAATTATTTGATTAATGAATTCCGGCAATAGGAAAATGTTTCCCTGTATACCCGTTCATTCTTTCCTTATTAAATAAGATACTTCGAGATAGGATAAAAGAATTATAATCAATAATGCTCAGATAATGTACTTCTGAATACGCACAGAATTAATTTAACAACTTTAGCAGAATCGATGCAAATAATTATGAATGAAGTGACGAATAGTATAAACACATAAATTGATAAAAGATGCATTATGATAAGTGAATGAGTGTAGAAAGAGATCATGATAACGAAACCTCGAAAGGTTACGTTGCACAAGTATTGCATGAGTATACACTCGTTTATTGGATATGGACTAAGTTCCATATATATTATGGAGCAGTTCCATATATAAGTATATAAAAACAACCATGAACTTAGTGCATTTATAGGCATCTTCAACGTGTACGCTCTGCACTAAGGCGTACATATCTCGTTAAACTATATCAAAGACGACGAAGAAATTGACCAGCGAGAAGAGAAAGACTTTACCTGGTAAAAACTTTCAGAGAGTAAGTTGCAACGAGGAATGAGTAGCTAGATTGATTATTCAATGTCACATGCGCGGTGCGTGCTATACGCAGGCTGGGTCTGAAGGTGTCCCCAGCCAAGTGGGTGGCTATATGGTTTTACGACTGGCGATGTAGGGGGGCTCCTTCGCCCGGTCTGTGTTTGGATATAAATGGGGAGGACATCGATGTTGGGCTTCAGATGAAATATCTGGGCTTCACTATTAACAGGCAATGGACGTTCGGGCCGCACTTCAGGCTCTTGGTCTCCAAAGTGATGGCGGCAGCCAACGCCTTATGTGGCTTGCTACCGAATATCGGGGCCGGGGTAGGAGTGCGCTGTGTATATAAGGGAGTCGTCCGTTCCCGGGTCCTGTACGGGGCTCCGGTGTTGACACGAGATCTGATGGCGCGTTGCCGCAGTCTGCTTTTGCTGAGGAGGCTACATAGGACGCCCGCCATCAGGATCATAAGGGGATACGGGATGGTATCTCATGCGTCGGTGCCCGTCTTGGCGGTGTCTTCCTTCGATCTGCTGCAGGCCAGGCCTTGGCGGGGCCTGGGCTCGAGTGAAGATTCTTCGCCCGGTGGGCAAGTGGCTGGAGACGTTCGGAGAGAAGCTAGGCGAGAGGTATGGGAGTGGTGGCGCTCCAACCTACTCGCCGAAGTTTAAGCCCCTGGTCACCGCGCCGTTAGATCAGTCCTCCCGAACTGTGAGGTTTAGAGGGGCCGCAGAGAGCTTCCGTTATCCTTCTCGATGACGCAGGTGCTCGCCGGGCACGGCGCAGCACACGCTGGAGTTTTGCTCGAAAAAATTTTTCTTCGAACGGCCGCCATTTTGTGACAAATTTTTTTTTGATTTTTCCAAGTTTCGTGCTATAGCGGCATCTATACTAATTTAGAATCCTTTCGGCTTCTTTGCTTCAGATGATCAGAAGGGTTGAAATCATGCACGCCAGGACACCCTTTTTTTATTGGACCCCCACTTTGCCAGTTCATAACTTTGTGAATTTTGAGTTTTTTCGGTTAATTTTTACTGCAATCTTAAAATATCAATAAACAAATGATAAAAAATGGATAGTAAAAATATTTTTTGTTTCGTTTGTACAGAGCTTCAAAAATCACTCGCAATTCGTGCCTCTAATTATGTTACATAATTTTGAAGCAATTTGAAAGCGGTTTCGTCTTGCTACAACTCTATTTATTCATGGTTGTACCTTACCTACCTCAAAGCAGTCTCTTGTGGCCTCCAAACTTCATTTGTAGTATGTCCAAAGTTGAAACAAGTAATAGCTCCTCGGGGTATCTGTAATATACATAAAATCGGTGAAGGAAATGTCAAAACAATCTTGACAGTTCGTTAGAGTGCTTATATTCACGTTCAGTGCTCATATAATAGTCAAACCTCCTATGATTGTCTACACGTACGAGTCTGTCTATTACAATGGGGCAATCTGTTCCTCATATTTGGAGAATAAGAGTAACTTTAGTGCGTTGTACTGCCAATATACAGTTGTGTCACTTTACCCACAAAAGTATCATCAATACCACATAATGATATACATATTGATATAATAATATTAAACGACTTTTATAAGAACATTGTTTTTATAATTTCAATCCCATGTGAGTTCTTCGACGGCACTTACTTAAACCGAACACTCTGTATATACAAATATGTTAGGTATATACATATGCGTATTTGTGTGTGTAGTTAAAAATTTTGACTTCGTTCAGTTCTCCTTTCTCAGTTTTCATTTTCGTAATATATTTTTCGTAATATATTTTACACTACACTTTATTCCAGTTAAGACAGCATATTTATTTATTATTTTGCTTCTTCTTCTAAATAACGGATTCTATTTTACTTCTCGTTGGCAAGTGCAAAAACGCTTTAAGATTTGCTGTATGAATTTTTTTGTAATATTTCTCTTTCCTATCTAGATTTGATTTATTTTGCTTATATTTTGAGAATGTGTCAGATTTTCGTAAAAATAAAGATCTACAATCAATGTTGAAACATTTAATGCCAAAAGAAATACGAACGACTGCGTATTTTTCTATGAAAGAATATGGAAACAAATGCATGTTTTTTCCAAAAAATTTAGGTCAACATAAAATGTCATTGAAAAAGATCAATCTTGGCTATACAGAAAACAGATTTCTTAAAAATAATTATAAATGGCTCGAACAAGATTGCATTTATTAAAAAAAAGAAAAAAGAAATGAAGAAAAGGCGGCTGATATCTCCTTTCATCAACAATCGTTATTTTTTTAAAATAAAAATTTTGTCTTAAATGAATCATTAAATTCAAATAAAACGAATCTGCAGTAGGAAGCACGCTCACGTCAGTGCTTAGAACGTAATGAACATAATAAAAGCATTGAAACCTTTTGTAAGGAAAGCTGTTCGTGAAACAAAAAACAAATTACACTGTCTTGAGCATTAAGTGTGTTTATTATGACTGACCTTCCAAAATTTCAATATGGCATAATCAGAAATGGAACAAGAAAGTGCGAGATTAATTATATAGTAATAACGGTCATCATACGATAATATATTAATAGGAAAGAAGATACAATGGAAATACAATAGATGCAATGGAAGCGTTTGCCAAAGCAGACCTACATTGTAGAGATGGTGTGAGCGTAACCTGCGAATAACAAAGTGATTCGATCACGTTCGGTCCAAATCAAGACGATTTTTCATAGCGCCTTGTGACTCTTCATGGTCATTTCTAATTGACGCAGAGCATAACTGTTCTTTGCACATATCACATGATTTGTAGCTGCTATTATACTTTTTATATTAACCACATCAAAACAAAAATGCGAGTTACATAGCATAAAGGAATGACGAAGAACAGTGAAAGATAACGCAGAAATTAATGATTTTGAATTTTGCAAACGTAAGTTTAATTTCAAATTTTTTTAGACTGAATTCTACTAAATGTAAATATAACTCTATTACAAAATAATATATGCAGTAACTGATGGATTCTTAGAGTAAGGACAAGTAATGATGGTAGGTTCGAAGTTTAATGTATTTTAAGAAGTGATATTCAACAACAGGAGGAATATAAATGGAGTTTAGTGTAGTTTAAATAAGCGATATTCAAGAACAAAAGGACCGAATATAATATCGTCGCACGTCGATTCGCACTCTGTGTCCGCTCAACTCACACACTGCTTCTCAACTGACTCTCTGGCCGTTGTAGCATTCTTTTGTCTTTTGCTAGGCCCACCGCACACGTGTTCCGCGGATGCTCGCAGCCAGGGTCACGTAGGCCTTTTCGGCGAAGCTATTTATTTGAAGGACCCGATAACGCATTGATGGAGCCGACAGCGCCTCGGCTCTCGCGGCATTGTCTATAGTTGGCTCGACGTTTCCGTTTCTTAGGCCCTTCTCCCCGATACTACACTCGGCCATCCTGCAATAACATCTGCCCTCAGATGTTGTGTTCATTCTCGCCATCGTCGGATGCGTCATCTTCGGCGTTCAGGACCCAAGGCTTCATGAAATCGGCAATCGTCGAGGTGTGCGCGTGTCCCTCATGCTCCACTACTTTCTCCGCAGTGTAGCGGTCATTCCGCATGGCTCGCACTACCCGGTAGGGAACCAAAAATCTGCCCCCGAGTTTTGACCCTGAGAACTGCGTTCTCTTTATAGCGACAAGGTCCCCCCTTAGGTACTGCTTCGCACTTCTTCTTCTTTTCTTGTAATTTCGCCGGTTCTCCTCTTGCTTACCTAATTTTCGTTCGGCTAGAATACAGTCAAGACAGTTGTATACCACGTGTTCGATCTTTTCGCGTTGTCCCTTGAACCAGGAGTCCTTTTTGACCATAGCTCCTGTTTTGGTGACCCCGAAATGCCCACGCTCGTGCGCTTGCCTGACTACTTGAGTCTGCATCGCCTTCGGTACTACTATTAGCACATCGTCCTTACACTCCTTATACCAAATATTGTTTCTTATTACATACCCATCGGCCTGACTGCACGTCGCGGCGTCCAAAATCCTACGGACTTCAATGTCCTTGTTCTGTGCCCTTCTCAACCGTGCAATCAGCCCGTCTTCGCTCTCCGTTACATACATAGTGCTCGGCAGGGGGTTCCTACTCAGAGCATCTACATGCTGCATACATTTCCCCGGCCGATGACACACCTGATACTTACACTCGCCTAGTAACAAGGCCCTTCTAGCCACACGCACACACAAGTCTTTCTTTCTCATCGTCCTGGCGAATGCTTGACAATCCGTAACAATAGTAAACGGCACACCTAACAGATATACCCTGAACCTTTTCAACGCTTTTACTATTGCTGGCACCTCTAGTTCGTAGCTGGTGTATTTCGCTTCCGCGGGAGTTGTTTTCCCGCTGGCAAAGTAGACCGGATGGAATTTTCCGTCGTTTAGATCTAGTTGCATTAACATTGCTCCGTAACCCTTTGCGGACGCGTCCGTATGCAACTCGGTCTCTGCGCCTATTGTACAAAGTGTTAACACAGGCCCGCTGGTAAGCGCTGCTTTCAAGGTTTCGAAGGCTTCTGATTTCCGATCCCCGAACTTGAAGTCTATCTCCCTTTTCAACAGATCGGTTAAGTGTTTGGCAATCTTCGCGTAGCCTCTAAGGAATTTTCGGACATATCCCGTAAGTCCCAAGAAACTCTGGACCTTTCTAACCGATGTTGGCTTGGGAAAGTTTGCAACGGCCTTGGTTTTATGAACGGAAGGCTTTATGGTGTTTTCCGAGACTATGTGCCCCAAATACTCGATTTCCCTCTGCATAAAACGATATCTCTTCCAATTTATGACTAGCCCATACTGCCTAGTTAATTCTACGACCATCTGCAAGCGTTCCCATGCCTCCTCTAAATTCATTGCAAGGATAATGATATCGTCCACGTACACGATGACAATACCCTTATCCATCAGTTCTTTATAAATCTTCGATATATACTTTTGGAATACAATAGGGGAAATTTTCAGACCGAACGGCAACTTCAGAAATTCGTATTGCTATACGTATACTTCTGGCTATCCTTGTATAGACTTACGTGGAAAAACCCATTTTTTAGATCTATCGTTGTAAAAAGCTGGGCGCCCTGCAACGCATCTAAAACGTCTTCAATTAAAGGCAACGGAAAACGTGGACACTCAATGAGTTCGTTAAGCTCACGAAAATCGACGCAAATGGATGGAGCCATCTTTCTTTCGGACTACCACTATCGGACTCGCATACTCCGAGTCTGATGGTTTGATGACGCACTCGTTTGTCCACACTTCCATCAGATCGTCCACCTCCTTTCTTTCCGACGGCGCCAGTCTTCGCGGTCCTCGTGCTACGGGATTGTCGCTTTTCAGAACTATTTTTGCAATTATCTCGACGTCTCACTTCTTCTCCGGCCTATACCCTTTAATGATATCGCGAATGGCTTCACGGTGATGAGGTTCTCGTACATGCGACAAGTCTATCTTGTCGGTTTGTTCTATCGCGTTTACCCTCAGTACATCTGCCGCGTCCTCGTGACCGTCAGACTGACCGTCGAATCGTAAAAAGGTCACCTCGCCCCGTTTGACTCGCAACTCTACCTGGTCTAAGAAATCAGTACCTAACAGCAGGCTGTGTCTTGTCATTACCTTATTCGAGACAACATGCAGAGTGACAGTCGTACCCGTCGACCGTCATTACCTTTGTAAACCCGCCCCAGGTACTATTACCAGCGGAACCAGAACCATCAAACCTAAGTTTGCAGTTTCCCAGAGGTAGTGATCCTA